AGTAACGCAGCGTTCCTACGGCAAAGTAACAGTAATCTAATTACCGTTTTTGCAATAGTAATCCCTTACTTTACTTGTTACTTGAAAAAAGTAATCGGATTACAGTAATGCGTTACAAGTAACGCGTTACTGCCCATCTCTGGTCATCAGGCAGGGACAATGCAAAGCAAATGTAGCCTATGTGTAAAATGTTGCTGTTGAGCAGTTGCTGCTGCTCCTGCTGCAGATAGTGCTGGAGGGGTGGGGGCGATCTCAAAACATTAAACAAGTGTTTTAGATAATAATAAACTTCAAAGACTATTCATACGGACATACTTACTAGTACATATCATCATCCAGAGTAAAGTCACAGAGAAGCGTGTACTCACCTTTGCTGTTGTTGCCACTTTGTAAAGTTTGAGTTTCTAATGAGGGTCAGTGTTGCCAGATTGGGTTGATGCTCTAATCCAGCCAGATGTTGTCTATCAATCAAACATAACCATTAAATAGCAGACCAAGCATCACTGCATTAAACACAAAAGAACAGTAAACTGGGTTTGCCAGCTGAATGACTGACTGTCTTTGCATCAGAAATGATTAAATGTATATATTTGTAGTTTCACTTTATTTATTCATATACTGCTGTATTTAAATGTTGTATTTAAATGCAAGTCAAACTTGCATCAGCACAACTAAATTCTCCACCTGTCCCTAGCAGCCAGTGGGAACACAGATGAAGGGAACGCTGGTTTAAGGTGCTTCTGAATTCTGAAAAAAATTTATTCTCAACAGGTTCTTCATCAATCAGCCTATTATTGCTTCATACATCTGCTTTTTTTAAAAATCCGTAAGGGACTTTTAAGAGCCATGTCAGTCTGTTGTAAATGTGTTTTAGGGCTCAGTTTCTGCCTTTATTGTTCTCTGTCTTGTGTGGTTTTTCTGTGTGTTTGTTCATTTATTTTTCCGTCCATCACCATGAGTGACTTCAAGCTCCGTTAATGGTCCTGGATAATGTGACTGATCAGCAGGAACTAATTGATGAGCTTCAACATACTGATGACTTGCTTGGTGAGGAAGCTCCCGTTTGAATTAACACCATGGGCACTTTTAGATTTCAACACAGGTGGTTGATTGTTACACTCTGGAAATGAAATGAAGGTTCGTGTTATTAAGCCAATAAATTATGAAAAACTGGGTTTAGATTCTTGGTGAAAAATGTGTTCATGACGGGGCAGAGTTCTTGCATTTTGTGTAAATTTAAGCATATAACAACTTGATTATTGCTTAATAAAAAAAAAAAAAGACAAACTGAAGCTACACAACACGGGGGGTTTACAAACACAAGTCTCACTTATTGGCTTACTTATTTATTCTATACGCTGTACAGCACATAAAAATTCACATTTTATGACTGGAATGTTTATTTATCTGGGCTAAAGAAAATTTATATGAAACGCGTATACTGCATATTTGCACCATGCATAATGCATATTGCAGGAAGTAACACCTGCATATGTTTAAAAAATGGCTTTGATTTGGATGCAGTCTCATTGCCACACTGCAGCGTACCAGCACAGCACTCCAGTTAGTTAGTCATCAGAACTGGTTTCCTGTCTCCAGCACGAACATTTCCTGTTATTGTTTTTATTTCTTTCGTGCCAATGTCATGTATCCACCAAAATGGATAATACGACCGACCACACAAGCAAAGAATGATGTCAATTACATTTGTTTTACTACCAAACGTAATGAATGTATATGATGAATGAACACTCAAATATTAACATTAAATCTACAGCTTCATGTTTACAATCAGAGATACACAAATGTGTTAGCTGATTTTTAATAGGTTTGATTTGTACACCAGTAACAGTAATGTGTTTAACAAGACTGTACAATTAGCCCCAACTCAAAAGATAGTTTTCTTGGCATACGTACATGAAATAATTCACAATCTGCACTTTAAAATACATGAGGAATACAGTAAGGTTTTCTAGACTGAGACGCAGTCTCAGATGGAACCACCAGATTACATCTTCTTGTGCTTTGTTGCCTTGTGTCTTCATAATAGACACGTGAGATGCATTTCCAAAATGTCTTTACCAAATGAATGTGCCATGTGTTAGTTCAGGTCATCCAAAGAACAGAAACACTTGGAACAAGGAAAACACAAGTGCAGCCACAAGGCAACAAAACAAGTTTGTACAGAGAAGGAAGCAGGCAGTCTAACGGTAATCGGTTCCCACTGCCACCATCTATTTGTGCAAAAAAGTCCAAAAATCAGGTTCACTCCCTCGTCTTTTTCAGGTGGAGGCAGAAGTCTCAGGAAGAGTTTCAAAACATAAGGAGAAAACAAAAATCAGCTGGCATTTGGGACAAAGTGAGAAAAACCTGCAAGTTTTAGAAGTGACCTTTGAAATGCAATCTTGTTCTGGTTTTTTTCTTCCTTCTTTTTGGGTGATCGTGGCTCAAGAGTTGGGAGTTCGCCTTGTAATCGGAAGGTTGCCGGTTCGAGCCCCGGCTTGGACAGTCTC